CCCCCCTTTTATAGGCATAAGCGCTCGCAAACGCACCAAGGGGCGGCGCGATGGTTTGACATACGAAGCGTGGCCAAAAGCAGCGTGGAGCAGAAATGGCTAATTAAGTGTCCCCCGCCTTTCCTCCAGCCCGCACTGTTCCCACCCCTGCCCGCTGACAAACCTGCGCGCAATTAGCGCTCGGGTTCTGCGTGCAGGGCGCGGCCCAAAGTCACGATTGCTTCGTGTACAAATGCATCCCCATCCGCGGAACCCGCCGAGTTAGTTCTATGGGAAAGGTAGGTTCCAGCAGCGGTGGGGTCTCTTGCCTCTCCTAAAAAATTGGCGTCTTGCGCCTCGAAAGACATAAACATATCGCAAAATTTCGGGTATGCACGCACCTGGGGTGATGCCTCCCTTTCTACCGCCTCATCCACCCACTCCATATCCACCGTCACGGTGTCTTCTCCCTCTCTGAGGAGGGCCTCGTTCGCAGAAAAATCCACATCATTTTGCGGCAAATCGCCAGATAGGTCTTCGTCCACGCCCTCCGCCTCCACCACATACGCCGCCCCTGCGCGGTCCATCTCCCCCGCGGGCTCGCCAGGTACGCCAACGAAGAATTCCTTTCCACAAGGTGACGCCAGAGAATCGCTGCGAACGCAAAGTTGCCTGCCAGTGTGGTTGTTGAGGGGCCGATGTTGAACCTTCCCTTGGCAAGCCGAACCAAGAGCGTCAAAACCCACACCTGTAATTGGTCTCTCCATGTCATTCATTCTCTTCTGAACAGCAGGGTTCGCGAGAAACGGCCCAAGCAAGCGCCGCAACAACCCCAGCGGTTCCGTTGTATATTGTCTATTTCCAACCAGCGTTCGACACGCATCAATCATAAATGCGCTCAACGAAGTGTTGCGCAGCGCCTCTGTTGCGCAAAGGTTGAGGCACCCGGATAGAAAGTTCCGTTTTGAAGCAGCCACTGCGCACTTTAAATGTTTCAAAATGATGTTATCTTCATTCATTTGGTCTTCCGAAAAGACGGATAGGATGGCTTCTCGTAGTAGCATGGACAATCTGTTGCACTCGGGGTGTCTAACGCTTATTGTCACCAATCCTTCCAAATATCCCGATTCCGTAATAATTTCATCAGTATCGCGGGCACGAAATCGGAGGAGTTCTAGAAATACTTCACAAAGCGCCACTTGCATTCCATTGACACGGTACACATTGACTTCTGTTTCGGCACCAATAAGTACACCGAAACGTTTGGCGTATATTTTTAGACACTTGATTGGTACGACATCAATCACATTTGCAGTGTACATATCTCTGGTATCGAGAGGTATGAGAGACCTGCGCACCAGTACAATGATGGAGTGAAGAACCTCCACACCCTGTGCAGCAAGTGGAACAGCACTTGAAATCGTTCTTGCCTCTTCACATGCTTCAAGAAGGACCCTCACAAACTCTGACATTACCTCATATCTAAGAAGCACATCAACCACTGGCCCCGCGCTATGGCTAAAGCCTCGTTTCAAAAGCTCTTTCAAAAAATAAAAATAGGGCTGATGATCCTTTGTGCGTAGCGCAACAGACATATAAGAAGCTAACAACTGCGGAAACCCCAGTTGAATCCAGGCCTCTGTGAAGATTTGCGTTCTAGTTTCGGGGGAAACCATACTTGAAGCTCTTAGGGCGGATCCAAATAGCGCCACTATTGTATCCGCTACAATAAAATTAGTTGCAGCTTTTTGAACGGCGCCATGAATAATCTGTTCATCTAATACAGAAGCAATAGCAGTAGTTGTAGCAATCGGGTCCACATCGAATGCTCCCAATAATATGCGTTGAAAACATCGTGACACCAACGGTGTCATTGCGTCTGTATTTCCAAGTACGGCTATTGTTGCTGGTACAATGCGGACAATCATGTATTGCGGCTCGTGCGCGAGATCCATGTGATACACAATCAGTTCTACCGCATTTGTGTTTAAAAGACCCGAGGGACAATTTGTACTCTCATTCGCACGTCCCCACTTACTTCCCTGACGGATGGGGCTTCGTTCCTTTGGTGAAGATGATCGAAGCGCCATCTCAATGAGTGTGGAGACACACCGATCCACAAAGCCCAATACGGCGGTTGTTCCCCCATCATCATCACGCTGCATTTGCAGGTATGACAGCAGATCATCGCGCGCAAGCACCTCATTCACGGTGGTGGAGCTCGAGGCACACAGTTTCCCAATGCTATTACTATTCGAACCAAGGAAACTATTAAGCATGCGAAGCAATGCACCGTGCAGTTATTTTATAGTGGAGATCGGTAGTATCGCCTCTTGTCAGTCTAAAAAGCAATAACAATAGTTTCCTATTGTTTACGAAATTTCTTCACTTTGTACTTTCTCGTGGGCAGTAGGCACGGGGTTGCGATTCAACCTTCAATAACCCTTTCCTTATCCCCCTCTGCAGCCTGTATGTGGTTGCGGTGCTTGTGCGTATGTTTGTGTGCCAAGCGTGAGAAGAAACTAAATGTGATGGGGCACGAAGGAAACCATAAAAGGAGCAGTGACGCCACTTAATACCACATATTTTTGGTGGACAGCAAAATCACAGAGAACTCTTGCTGCATACTTTTCCAACCCGAGAAACCAGAAACTCCTCCCCTCCCCCAAAACAACGAAGCAATAATAAAAATAAAACCCAAGAACATGCTCAAATTCTACTACCACCATCCTTTTCGTACAGTGGTTGCGCGTGGCACAACTCCCGCAGAACGACTATTGGACACGGCGTAGTGGTCACTTACTGTCGGTGCTGTTGGATACGTGCCGTGAAACTGCTCGGCAGTACTGGGGGCTCGACTCTCATTTAACGCTACGTAGCCATGCCTCACTGGTGCGGGAGCCCAGTGCGTACCCGGCTCGGTTGCAGCCGAAGGCGGACACCATGCCCGAAGCCCTGAACTCTGGGCAGCGGTAAAGGCGCCGCGATGCCACGCTGGATGCACCTCCATCGCACCTCCATGATGCGGAACAGGAATTCCGAAATTTGTAGGCAGCTGTGGGGGTTGTGCGCAAACCCGACTCGAAATGTCATATGTACATGTCGGCAGGGGGAAGTCGTAAGGCAATGTGACACGCCACGGCGGCTGAAAGCACGTCCCTGGAAATGCACCACGCGGCACCAAGAATGCGGCATTGCCGCCAACAGCGGAGAACTGGTGGTCGTTCATGGCTTCTATGGGAGGCTTCTGCTGCAGCGGCGGTGGCAGCGGATTCCGCTGAATCTGATCATGTTGAACCGGTTGAAATGCGGCGCCTCGCACGCTGAAGCGAAAGCGCGTAGATGGACATGGGTGGTTGGTGGTGATGGCGGCAGCAGCAGCTGCTGCAGTGGTGGCTGTGGATCGTGGAGCCACCGGAGGGTCGGGCGAAACAGCCTTTCGGAGCATAACTGTCTTCCCAGTATTTGAAGCGGGAGCGAATCCCTCCTGACGATTAGCGTATTCGCTCATAAGCCGTAAACGCGACGCACTAGAGTCGTTGCTGACGTTCTCCCGAGACCTTTTGCAAGAGTATGCAGGTGAGTTTCTGCCCAAACGTAAACTAGAGGCAATATCGGCTGTTCGATTCACTAACTGCATGTAGTCCTCATCCATCTGCGTCATGGTGTTGTCTACACCACAGCTGTGCACCAAGGTGGCTGCGTCAGGGCTACTGCCACCCACCATGGCCCCTGCTTCCTTCGACGAAGACCTTTCATGCTCCAAATTATCCGTCGTGAACTCGTCGCCAAGCACATCTACAGTTGGTTGGGTTTCCCTTTGAAAATGGCCATGATTCTTCAGAAGCAGGGAGTTTGGTGCGTCCGCTGCACGCCTAAGTGAAGTTCCAGCAACCCATCGAAGGTCACGGGTAAGCGCGTCAAATGCGCTTGTTGAAGTATTAGGCCCAACACTCTTCCGCTCCTTTTTTAACGGTTCCACTCTCATATGGGCAGCTTCCTCTGTTTTCTCCCTATCTTCGTCCACTGCAAGTGTGAAATTGACATCATCCTCTGCTTTCTCACCATCTTCGCCCACTGCAAGTGTGGCGTTGGCATCAGTACCAAGCAGTTGGTGTTCTGTGAAGACGCATCCCACAACACGACAACGTCGGGTGCGTGAAATTTGAAACGTGAAGACAAGTGGCTTTTCTTTAGCCTCCAGTGAACCAAATTGACGAAACAAGAGAATACTATCTGTCGCGGTGTTACCCACTACCAGCACCATGTTGTACTTTGTTTGGGACGCTCGCAACTTGTCCATTCCAGTCGTTTGAGTGACGACGGCCCGCAACATTTCTGAACTTTCACACCGTTCGAGACGTAGTGCCCACTGCGGTAATGCGAGGCATCTGTCCTGGAGGTCGTTGCCGAAAGGTGGGTTCCTACTGCAGAGCGACTCCAACTTGCGTGGATCAGTCTTTGCAACATCGGCAAGACTTCTGATACCGCATCGCATAAGTGCCTTGGCAGCGTTTTCTCCAACACCATCTAGCTGCTTCAGCACTGGGCCGTCCCACCACATCCGCTGCTCTATGCAACGCTGTAAGAGGGAACTCTCCTTCATAAACGAATATGAGTCTAGCGACCCAGCGTAGTCCACAAGGAAGCGGGCCAGACGCGGCACTGTGGACCAGAGCCTCACGGAATCATTCCGCAACGAGAAATCGTTTATCTGTGTGTGCTCAAGGTGAGCTTGGATGAGCACATATACCTTGTGCCAGTCCTCGCGCACTTCCCTACCTCCACGCATTCCTGACTTGAGCGGTAATCGAACAATTTTGTTGATCTCATTGAGATGCTTCCGATCGCCTAGGCGGAGGTGCAGATCCTCAAACTCCGTGGAGCGGCTCAGTATACAAAGGAGCTGCTGCAGTGTGAAGGGGTTGGCGGAACCTGCCATTTCTTCCAGTGTTTTACCTTCTTTTGGGGGCACCGCAGCTCCTTCTTGCGCCGTTACTGCTACAATATCCTTTTGGGAGCGCACACGTGCAGTCTCAGCATTGAACAACTCGACCGTCTTGAGGAGAACATAACGTCTCGCCATGGCACGTCCCACACGCGTGCTCTCAACGACATAGTTTCCCTTCTTCATGTCGACAGCAGCTCCGCTATCCAGGTCTCGTCCATCCCCCACGTGGGCACCATCCTGGTGAATTGTAATGCACCCCTGTTTCTCCAGCTCCACAAGCATACGGCGCATGAGATGAGCTGCGAACTCTTCGCGGTCAAAGTCGGATTCCTCCTCTTTAGTGGAAAAGAGAATACCATAGTGTCGAGGGCAACGCCGCAAACGAATCCACAGGAACGTGGTCTTGATCCACTCCACGCCAAGCGCAAAGCTGTGAATAGTGCGAAGAGCCACTTCTGCGTTTACATGTTCAACCATTTTTTGGTGCAATCGACTCTCAACTGTTGTGCACGAGTCGCCATGCCGCAGGGGTTCATAGAGCGCTGCCTTGTCCTCTGTCGTAAGCACTAGGGCAACACCATGTGTATCAAGACCGGGACGGCCTGCCCGGCCACTCATCTGTGCCACCTCCGACAAGGGCAGATCCTCTCGCCGACCGCTTTTGAAGAAGGTCGTGCCTTTGATGATAACGAGGTGAGCAGGAAGGTTCACCCCGAGTGCTAGTGTGGTAGTGGTGCAGATCACAGAGACGTAGTGCTCCTTGAACATGCGCTCCACAAGGAATCTGTCGTTCATTGACATGGCCGCATGGTGATAGGCAATCCCAAGCGAGAGAAGTGAGCGTA